TCAAAAGTAGTCAATTACGGGGTAGAAGGGATGGGGCTACCCAGCAAAAAAGACCGCAGGCCAATCGGTCCAGCGGTTGCTGAGATATAAGCCTCTCAAAAGCGTTACAGGCCGGGCCGGGCCGGGCCGCTCATACTGAGATTTTTCTGTTATATTGAAATGACTTCGCTTCGCTCGCTGCGCTCGCTCGCTCGTAATAAAGAAGAGAAGGGGCAGCTATTGAACTAACTATGTATTAGACTAGATTTCTGGCTGTAGCGCCGCTTCGGTTGAACCCGTTTCCTTGGGTTTGGTGTGCCCATTGGGACAAGCTCTTCCATCCAGCCATTCAAACGGTCACCTCAATAGGGTATGCTCCTTCTGAAGCTTCCCTTTTCCGCGGCCGCTTGGGTAGGGTGACTGTCAGCCCAGAACAGGAAAACATGATCAGAGATTGGGATGGGCTGGTCCTGAGGAATCGTCGGAGGGATAAGGATAGACCGGATAGACGCACATCTCGGCATTCATAGCTGGGCCGTATATTTTACCTGTTTCAAGTGTAAGCATTCCTGTAGATGTCCATTCCTATAGATGTCCCTTAACCCTCGCCCTGGCAGGGCATTTTTCATAACACGGCCTGGCAGGGGGGGGGGTCGATGCGACCCCCCCCCCTCGCGATTGGCTCCTATGGCACCTAGAAACACCAAATTTGGTAGATAGGTGGGCCCCCTGGAGTTCTCGCCCCTGTGCAAATTTGGTTGCTCTAGGTCAATATTTCGGGGGTTTTGGGGGGGTATAAATGTAAAAATTTCGCTAAAAACAGGTCAAAAGTTTTTCGCTTATAACTTTTAATCTAATTACGATAAAGCAAAAAGAAAAGCACCAGTGAACTCAGCACGTCAAGGCGCGTCGAATGATATACTTTTTAGCTTGCTGAAGTGTACTTAAAGTTTTTCTTAAATTTTAAGTAAACTTAAATTAATAAATTAAGTTCAAGCTAACCAAATTGCATCATATCGCATATCATTCAATTCGGCTGATCACCAGGAACACAATGATACCATTTTTTAAGCTCTAGCGTCTTTATGTGCCAAGTTATTGGCACGGCGGAGGAGCAGGACGGCGGGAGGAGCAGGTGCTCTCTCCTATAATTGGGACAAGAGCCCGTTGGAGAGAGGTTCGACTAAATAAAAAAAAGACCCGTGATGTGTGAACGGTGCAACATTTTATCTTTGACCTGACCTGTGACGTCATCGGTGACCCTGAGGTAAATGAAATTAGATTTATTTCGACTAATTTGACAGGGCTATCGAACACCGTTTGAATTTTACGGATCCGTCCAGTAGTTTCGGAGGTACGGGGGGCAAAACAATGCCCCCACCCCCTCACCGCGCGGAAGGTGGCCGGGAGGCCCACCGCCTGCCGGGTTACCTTATCTTTATTCATGAGGAGAAGTCGTTTATTCGCGAATGCCTCATCAGTTTTCAATTGTGGTTTTTATATCTGCTTTTTGTTATTTCTTGTGAACTTCACCGCATAACCAATCGCAAAGAAAAGCAGCTCGCTGTGCGCAGTCGGCAGGAGGGAGAAACCCGCTGGTGGCGCTTTCTGGTGGCAGTATGTGAAAACTAATGGTAATAGTGCCTAGATGTCGCTGCTGCAGCATTGTTCTGCCGTTTTACGGCTCTGAGCTGGTTCGTGGGCCGGCGCTCACCCGCAGCCTGCTTACCGCAGTCCAATTCATACATCTTCAATATGTGCATTGGGTCTGAGCTGAATAGCACAGCTATAAAATATGTAGGTAATGCTTCCTCTGCCTCGTCTCGATAAAATAAATCATTTATGATTATTGAATTCAATTGAGACAATGACATGATTATTCAGCTCCAATTCCTTCGTTTGCCTACACTTGATAATCAACATCCTCCAAACACCGTTGCTGGCCTTGAAGAGACCTGGCCCTGTAGACTTTGACTCTGGGAACTTGGGAAACTCACACTGAATCCGTGAAGCGTAACCGCAACCATCTGGCCTCATTGATGACCCATCGGTTTAGCAACACGGCTGCTTCTGAATCAATGGTGGCCTGCAATAATTGCAATAATTCACTGCATAACGGAGTCATGTTCTCTGCCGACCATCAACCGTTCGTGGTGGCAGGAGCGCTAGCTCGTGGTTACGTCATAGTCTTCACGCCTGTCCGTGACGGGCGCTGCCCACTCCGTGGGGCGCGCGTGGGTGATAAATCCGTGAGCCGAGGGATGGTGCGACGGCGGGCGTCTGGCGCAGATCGCACCGTAATGGCTCAATGGCACGGAGCACGGCGATACATAGACACCTGCAGTAATGGGCAGTCACGCAGCAGTGAAGGCCGAGTGTTAGGTTGAGTTATGCCTAACTCGTGCATCTTTTGCCCTTTAGTGGGATGGGACTTGAGAGCCTAATTCACAAAATGTAGGTGCTTATGTTGATGTGTCACTCTTGTCTCAGAAACCTGCAGCTTGGTTTCGCTTCTATTTTTGGTTTCGTTTTCGTTTATTCTCCAAGCCTTTCGTGTGTCTCAGAAATGGGAGCCTATGCAGTCATGTTTCAATTGGTGATGTCTTCTGTGTAATACCTAAGAATGGAATAATGGTTCCATTAGCTTCCCATGTTTCTTCCCATGACTCTAAAGGCTCATTGTGATGTGTCTTATTATGCACTATACTTTTTCTCAAAATGTGTGCGGAGCTAAGAGCTTGATTCGTTTCCACTGGATTATACGAGTAGGGGAGAGCGGGGCCAGTTGAACCACTTTTTATATATTGACATGCACAGCGAGATCTAGTTGTCATATCGAAAAATGCACAATGCCATGAAAAATATGCTCTTTTGGCTTTATTTTAAGATAAGTAAAATTATGTTTCAAACATATTTTGCTGCCAAACGCATGCTTATAAAACAGCTCTACGCCCGTTTCAAATGACCCCGATGCGAGGGTCAATTGAACCAGCCCATGGGGTCAATTGCACCTATTCTTAACCCTCGCCCCGTTGGGGGGGGCCATTTTGGCCCCCCCCCCCTGTGGTTTTTCCTGAATAGCAAGAAAACGGCGGCGCGCAGCGCCGCCAAATTTTCAGTACCTTCCCGGGCATCAATTTGATACCTTCACACCAAATTTCAAGTCTTAGGTCACCTTAGGTCAGGAGTTATTGAGGTCAAACTGAGGTCATGTTCGAGCAAAAATGAGCAAAAAACATGCAATCTTGAAACGCTCACCAAATCTACAGTTATCAAGCAATTTCAAAGTTCTTTATATGGTCTAGTAGACAAAAAGCGGCGCTACAAAACTGCTATCTCGGATTTTCAAAATTTTTGGTTTTTGACCAAAAAAATTCAAAAAATTGATTTTTTTAGAAAAACTTTGAAAAAATCCAAAATTTTCCCGAATTTCGAAAAAACGGAATATATGTGATAGTCCCAGCGCTCCTCTATATACATACCAAATTTCAGATCGATATCTCGTTTTTTGGCCAAGTTATAGCGAAAAAACTGTTCAAAAATGATGACGTCAAATTTTTGAACTCAATTTTTAGCAATTCTAGACCACGTACGGCAAAACAAAGACCACCATTGAACTCCCCGTGACGAGCTGCATCGATTCGATACCCATTTTATGCAAATATATTAACTTTGAAATTTGACCTAATTTGACCTGACCTTGACCTGACCTTGACCTGACCTTGACCAAAACGTGATCTAAGCTGGCCCCAAAGGCTGCCTGATCCATATAATCGCATTTGCCATGTAAAATGGACCATAAAACACGTATCACACGACACTTTCATATTGTGACCCCCCCCGTGACCTGACCTCTGTGACCTGACCTGGTATCAGTGACCTCAAATAGCAAAATATGTGTTTGAAGAACATTTCCCCATCGATGATTTTCAATGAAATGCATTTTACTCGATTTTACAACGCATTTCTTGAAGTGCCTGTAAACGGTGAAAATTGGACCTTTGACCTGACCTGTGACGTCATCGGTTTGACCTAGGTCAATAAAATTGGGTCACAAGGTAGTTCCCCGTTGGGGCTATCCAACGCCGTTTACCGCTTGTCGCTATGTTGCGTGGTTCTCGAGATCTTAGGGGGGGGCCAAAATGGCCCCCCCCCCAACCGGGCGCGTTGCTCGGCAGAGCCCAACGGGGCGCGGGTTAACAATGGGATGTTTTCCTCTTTAAGGCCACTTTCTTAAGAAGATATTTTGTCCGGTTTACTTTTCCAAATGCTACATTCAATAGGTCGTTGGAAAGCTAAAAGTGCAAAGTTCCTCATAATAGGTGACATAAAGTACATAGACTATGAAAAAATGGGCGGATGAGGAAAATGAGAAATATCTCAGGCTATAGTGTGCTTTCAAGCAAAAGGCTGGAGAAAAAGGGGTCAAAAATTGAGCTCTATTAAACTACTATTTCAGTTTAAAAGCTCATTTCAAAGGTGGACTATTTCCTTTAATGTTTACAGCCCCTGAACAATAACCATTGCAAAGGTCACCGGGGTCCATTGAAACGGCCTGTGGCCCTGTTTCAACTGAACCTCAGAGAAGCGTTTCAATTGACCCCATCCGCTTCCGCCATCTCGCACGCGCCGTAAAGCACATGCCAAACGAGCTGGAGGGACGGCATCATGCTGAATGAAGGGCCAAATAAGGTGTTATTCCGGAGCCAGGAGTTCTTCTTTCAGCAAACAAAGGTATATGAGATATCACAAAATATTCATTAAAACGATTTCTCCCAAACGCCCCTCAAAAACACAAAAACAAGTGTCAAATCAAAATTACCGTCCGTTTGCCGCCCAAACGCCGTTGACAAAGCAAGTGGTCGAGCGCGGATGCGCAGTGGTGTCGGCAACGCCATATGTTGCATACTGTTGAAAATAAAGCCATGTTTCATCTGACCCCGTGTTTCAACTGGCCCCGCTCTCCCCTATCTTCTGTGTGCCTGCAGGCAGATGAGACATTTTCTCATTCAAACACACTGTTTGATACAATATATAGTTTATATATTTTGCACTATACAATATGGAATGTACAAAGTAGGCCCTCGAACAAGGCTCAGTCATCTACGCATACAAAAATATAACAATTATGACTTGGCACGGGATTGGTCTCGAGTTGTTCAGGGAATAAGCCATCTTCAGGTACCGCTAAGGCGTCACTCCTGTCTGGGGCGGGCGCGGACTGACGAGAGACTCCACTGGGACACACACGCCCTCTCCCTCCCTCTCTCTCTCTCTCTCTCTCTCTCTCTCTCTCTCTCTCTCTCTCTCTCTCTCTCTCTCTCTCTCTCTCTCTCTCTTTCTTTCTCTTGCTTTCTGTCCCTCTCTCTCCCCTCTCGCTCTTTCCGCGGACAGTCACAGACAGGGGTGATAAGGCACGCGCAGGCGGCACTGGTGGCCACTGCAGCTCGAAAGACAGCAGGCTTTTCACGGGACGCAGCCCGTAGGCCCGGCGAGGGGCCGGATTTCGGGTCCGGAGGCCCCGTGCCACTCTTAACAGCGGTCTGACGCTAAAAGGTCGACTTAGGACTGGTCGAAGGCGTTCGAATTGACAAGATGTAGAAGCGCGATACAAGATGGAGACAGGTCGATCCCAGAACACTGTCATTCATAAGGCCGGCTGATTTTAAAGTGATATCCAACTACACAGAGTAGATTCCGAATCTGGCTGGCTAGGCTGTGGACTGCGCCACCTATCGAGGGCTTAGAAACCGTCTCCAGCTAGCACTCCTTTTTCGGGGGGAATTCATCTTGAGACCATCGTGTTCACAACCCTGTAAGAATGCTTTAAGCACCTGACGAGCACCGGTAGGCACACATGTATAAATTAGTAATGTACATCATATTTCCTACTTTGTGTGCGTGCGCCCATGCCTCGATGGGCGGAGACCGGTGGTGTCACAGTATGAACTCGGGCCTTTCGCGGCCGGACAGGGCGTGGGGACCGCGCCCGAACCCGCTCCCAATCAGCACGGTATCTTTGTACCATTTGCAAAATCAAATGACGTCACCCACTCATTCGCGAGCATGTGACCCGCGGCGCGGGGGCGTCCGATCACCGGTCACAGGGCGTCCATGCGCTCGGTGGCGCCATTCGGCGGCGGGCAGCAACACTAGAGTTTCGGTCGTCCTTGCCCAGACGTCACTAGCGTCACACATGCCTCCGCGCGTGCAGGGACAGGTGGTCACTGCGCGAGAACGAGCGGTTGCACTGCGTACACCGGAACGGCTTCTGGCCGGTGTGCTTCCGATAGTGCCGCGTCAGCTCGTCGGAGCGCGCAAACTTCCAGTTGCAGCCCTCCCACGTGCATTCGTACGGCTTTTCACCTGGAAACGGACAAAACAGGACGTCAGCGTGCTCGAACACAGCGTCAGAGGCTGCACAGCTGCTTCTGCCGGCGCGGAGCTCACCACCCAGCAGCCAATCATAATAAAACCCATGCTCGGCCGGTTTGCACTGCACCGAGCAATTGCCCTGGGTAAGACAATCGCGCGCGGCGCGGGACAATGCAGGCGCCGCTCATAAAAGCTGTTAGTCCGACCGGCGCATCGTGACGGTCCCAAGTCATTCGGGGGCGTATCGTCGACGATCCGAGCGTCTCGGCATCACACGGACCAGTTTACGAGTCGGCCGGCCGGCTTCCGAGAACGCCATGGACGAGAGCGAAATCGGCTCCATTACGCGGTGCCTCCCACAATTGGCACGGCCAATAAAATCGCCAGTGCCGCAGCGGTCTAATTGCGGCCGATGCGTGCAATGGCGGCGTTTTAGCGGCCGGCTGCAGTGCGATCAGTTACAGCTGATTGGCGGCCGGCCAGCAATGGCAGCCGAATTAGCGCAGCTCCATAAAGCAGACGGTCCGCTGATTTAATTTGGTCACGGCTTTTCCCGGCCAAAGGTCAGGTCAGCTTGCAACATAGCTCGGCATCGTCTGTGAGCTGCTTGGCGCACCGGCTTTACACAGATGATCCTGAGCCCGTGCTTACGATATAAACACATCCTTGGACCATAGCTCACGTTGAACTTCGCTCAGAGTTATCTAGGGCGTTACTCGAATTCATGAAGTCACGACTTCTTTCACAACATTTTCTATGAATGCGAGATGAGACTTGGGAAAACTACGAGCGGTTTAGCCAAGCGTAACGGTTTACTGAATCGCTCCGCTCGCCATACAGTAGAGCCATTCGTAACAACAATGCTACCCATTTTACGGTTTAAACACCTCATTTGCAAGTGTCATATTTGACACTCGAAAATAACTAGCTCCAAGCCGTTGGCAACCTTTCCCGCCGTTTGTTCCTGCTCAACAGACTCAACTCGCTACAGTGCTGTAGTAAAGCGTGACCGCCCCCACCTCACGAGTAACGCCCTCCCTTCCACACCATCCCTCCCTCTCACCCCTCCCTCCCTCTCTTCCACACCCTTCCCGCTTTCACAGCTTCTCTCCCTTACATAGCCTCTATCCCTCCCAGCCCCTTCCCGCCCTTTGACCCTTTTATAACTTCCCTCCCTTCTACACCCTCCCCTTTCCACACCCCTTTCAGACCATTCACTCCTTCCCACGCCCTTTCCTCCCCTCTCCACACCTTCCCTTCATCGTCCTTACCTGTGTGGGTGCGCTTGTGCGCCTTGAGGTGCGAGCTCTTGGTGTAGACCTTTCCACAGCCGGTGTAGTCGCAGCGGTGCGACTTTTTCCGGCGCGCCTCAGCGGCCGCCTTGCTGGAGGGCTGCTGACCGTCTGAGGCGGGTAGGTTGGAGAAGACGCTGTGGTGCACGTCCGCAGACCCAGAGAGGGACACTGAAGAGGGCAGCCGGGCACTGAGGGAGACAGAGAGGGCTGCGGTCAGATTTGGTGAAGATACAGGGGGAGAATGGCAGGTGTAAAGCTAGCATTACCAAGCAGTACTGTGGGGTGAAAGAGACCACAATCTTCTGACAGAGGGACTGAGAGCGAAAAGTTGAGACTGAACAGAAATCAGCTACATTTTCAGACAGACACGAGTTTGGGTGTTGTTACAGTGTGGAAAGGTCAGTGTAACAATACACAATCGAAGGAACATTGATAGGCGGGCGATACAGGAAGTAAAGTGAACATCAGCGACAAACACAAGAAATAATCCGACAATAATATCAACAATCGCATTTTAACACGCATCACAACTGCCGTAATTTGGCGTTTCTCTTCCCCTTTATGCTGTCAGTCGTTGACAGGCAAATGGCCGATTGTTTCGGCCACTCTCGGTTCAGAAGCTACAGGCGTGACGCGCCGGCGGCATAAGTGACGCGGCGGTGGCGTAAGTGGCGCAGCGGCGCTAATGACGGACGCGGCGCGGGCGCCCGGTCGCTAACGAAGAGGCGGTATCGGCGGCGGTCGGTGCGGTCCGTCCCGAACAATACCGGCTCGCAGCGGTGACTGGTGCGACCGGTCACCCTCATAGCGCTGCTACTGGTGGATTATCCGCGCAAATTGGCAGACCGGACCCGTCTGACGAGCTGTCACAAGGTCGTCCCGAGCTGCGCTGACGCGAAACCCAGCCCCGACTGACGGCTGACCAGTGACCAGCGATGAGCGCGCTCAACATCGCACCCGTTCCTACTCATATAATGTCAATGCTAACATTCGATACTTGGGTATTGTGGTCTCTCAGTCATACATTCGTGTTTCAAAAATACTTATTTTGTGTCTTATGTTTAAATTTGTCAAACAAACATTGTAGGTATGTAGTGACATGAAGATAGCCTCACCCAATTCGCCAAGAGCCCAAAGCTGGTTGGGCGAGCGATCCCGGCGGCGCGGTTGCATGTCTCTATCGCGCTCTGCAATGCCCGTCACGAGTGTTGTACTGATCTGGGAACGGGATTAATTGCCGCCAGCTCGTGTGCCGTACGAGTGTTAGGCCTGCTTGGTATTCCGCCCAAGCCCGCGGCTGTGCGGAGGCCACCGCAGCAATGGGAAACACTAAAACTCAAACGTGATCGCCGCGGAAGGCCGCGGATTTGAGAGTTCGCGTCGTTAGTGGAGAGTTTAGGTCATCAGCGGTGATAGATATCATCAAACCGGGGCCATCCGGGCAGGGGCGGGGCCGCCAAATCGATCATTCACTTAGGATTAGTTATCTCATATTGACCTGCATGTTGAGCATTGCAGTGAAAGCGAAGGACGTCTATCAAGGACGGGTTCTGAATTGGCATTTTATGCTTCACCGGTCCATATCGTACTCGAGAGGGTTTTCCGGTATGCGGTGCTAGAGTGAAAAGCGCCGGTGTATTGGCGAGCTGTGTTCGGTTGATTGCAAATAATCCGTTCGGTGTACTAAAATATAATTAGACACGCCTTTCCTTTCGCCCTTTTCTGCAGTCGATTCGAACATGGTTAAGTTCCGGTGATTAAGTTTGCATCGTGATTTGAAGTCATCAGAGTTGACATGTATTTAAACAAATTAACACACTGACCTTAACTCAAAGTGCCTGGGAAGGCAATTTCAATGCTCAGGTGCGGACCACACCTACGATTTCTCTCTAAAACGTGACCCTGCACGCCCACGCCCCAGCTCATTTATTATCAGTTACGGGGAAGGAAGCCAGCCTGATTAAACAAACATTATTCGGAATATTGGTCAGTCACGCCGCCCTTTGCTGGCTTCTAATTCAAAACCCAGATAGGCCTCATCAATCCTCCATGCAACGGACACTAATGACGAGGTAGATGCGCCGAACAGACGTTAGAACTCACGCGGCAGATATTCTCTTGGCCGGCGATCATGTCCGCACGTGAGAGCCGACGGGCCGCTCCGCCCTGGGGAGACGCACAGCGCGGCTGGCCGGCGCCCGTAGCCGGTCGCCAGGGCGGGGCCTCCCATTCCGTGGGCGTTTCGCCACGGCGAGCGCATAACGGGCCGGGGAGGAGCGGCGGGCCGTGCAGCCGAGTGGGCCCGGCGCGCGGCCGACGACCGATTCTGTGCGGCCGACCCTTTTTCGGCGGAGTCCGCCTTTGTTGGCGCGGTTCGCCGAGCGAGACGGCGTCGGCTCGGCCGTGCCCGTGAAATGGCCGGCCGGGTCGGCGGGCCAGCGGAACGTCCCCGCGGCGTGGCCGGCACGGCGGCGCGTGCAGCGGCTCCGGCCACGCGCGCCGGCCGGCCGACCGCCGCCGGCGGCAGAGGCCGGCCGGTCGGCGGGGCGGTGGCAGTGCGCCCTTACAGGGCAGCAGGGTCCGCAGCGGACCCGCCGGCCGTGTGAGGCAACCGCGGCCGCCGGTGGCGCCGTGCAGTGCGTGCTGACCGCGCAGGTTTACGACCTCACCACGCCACCGGCGGGCGGCGGTCCGGCTCCGCCGCGGCCGCCGGCCCACCGGACAGGTCCTCGGATTTGCCGGAGAGGCGGCGTGCTGACGTAAAGATCCGCCGAGCGGCCGCCGCGGGCCAAGGCTGCCGGGCGGAGAGGGCCGCCGCGCCGCCGCCGGCTCGGCCCTGAGCGCAGAACCGTGGATCGCGGGCCGGCCGACCGGGAGCGGGCCAACTATCGGGGTCACCCACCGGCTCCAGAGGTGTGGCAAGTCCACGGGGCGGCGTCAGCGCGCGCGCGCCGCGGTAAAAAGATCGCGCTTCGGCTGCTTTCGCAACTCTCATAAAGAACTAACTCCATTACACGCATGCAATAATTGAGGCGGCGAATTTTCCCGGGCGTGATCGGGCCGGCCCATCTTGGCTCCGTTTTCCCGGCCCCATTAGTGCTGCAGCGGCAAACCGTTCAGTTTCCCAACCTCTCATCCCGGCCGCTACCGTCGCCACCCTTCCTGTTCACCCCTCGGCAGGAGCTCTCGCATACAAACGACGCCGTGGCCCGCTCCCTCTCCGACACTATTCTCCTCTACTATTCTCTCTCCCGGTCGGGCTAACGAGGTTTTTACGGCGCATCGGCAGCGGCGCGTCGGGCGGGGCTTTGCCGGCGATGACGGGCACAAATGCGACAAAAACGGCTCCTGTTCAGTGCCGCCGCCACCGGGACGTGCTCGGTTCTGCGCAGGTGCGACTGTCTGGACGCAGACCGAACGAGTCATGTGAAAGAACCCAGCAACATCGGCAGCTTTAAACCGAGGACAGAACTGCTGCAAACTAAAAACACTAAATATATCCTCCCGGAGACTGCAACGCGCTCAGTGATAGCTAACACGAGTGACTGCATTGGCACACAAGTAGCTAGCACTAGAGATTCCATCGCTGTTTTAGACGATAAAGACTGTATCGCTGCATGGGCTGCTAGCACCGGATTCCATTGGGCAACTGCAACGCCCGACACGACAGTATCCAGGTGACTGCAACGCAGACACAGGCCGGTAACCAGAAGCTGAAGTGTTGATAAACTTAGTGGTAACTCGGGCGCCATGTCCCTCTGCGGCCACCGTGACGCCTCTAAGTGGGCCGTAACGTCACTACAAACGTAACGGCGTGTCGCGGTGGGCAGACCACAGAGAGACATCAGTGCCGGACCCGCGGACATTAGCGGTGTAATCCGCGCTTACACAAACACCGGTCGGATAATCCACCCGGCCCGGCCGAGGCTCGAGTGTCCTGTCGCCTGTCGGCGGGGTCGATCTAGCAACATATCTTGGTCGAGCTGTACTGATGCCCGTGCCGAGCTGTGCCGTCGGCAGCGTGCCTCGGTGTGCCGGACCTGAGCGGCAGCTCGGGCCGCCGTATCAGATCAGAGTCCGACCGCTAGCGCCGCCGTGTGTTAGCCGTCAGTTTATAGCGGGTGGCGGTGGCGGAGGTCGCCGGGCCCGGCCCATGGCGCGACACAGCTCCCTAATCCTGACGGAGGGCGGCCGCGGCGGCTCGCCCCCGCCCGGCTCCCTCGCCGAGCGGCCGGCTACTGTGAATCGGTCCCCCGGCGCGGAGCGGCGCGGCGCCACCGGGCGTGGGTCGGTCGGCCGATCTCCGAGCAGATACCGCCGCCCGCCGCCGCCACAAAAGGCTAACGCCCGCCGCCGATAGCATTCATCCGGTCAGCGAGCTGTGTGCTGACGATTTGTCAGCAAAGAACTGAGGGCGGCGCCCCGGCGGGGCGCTCTGTCATGAAGAAGATCGTTCTCCACACCCGACCAACTCACCAACGGGTGAATCCGTCACCTCACCACGCCATCACTCTACACCGCCATCCAGTCAGCTAATTAATATCACCCCCGCCGCTCAGATCGACCCAGATAACGGCCGCTATTTTACGATACAACTCATTGGTAAGGTCACGTTGACGTCTCAATTTGCGACATGTCTCGGCGGCGGACGCTCGTCGAGGCCGTCGGTGACGTGCAGACTGGAGCCGTGGCCGGCGGCGTCATCACCAGCGTCTTTGCCGACAGGTTTACTCTCTGGTGGCTGGTTTATCGCCGCCGAGCGCTGCTCCGATGCCGTAACGACCTCATAAGGTGGATGTGTGTCGCTGGCCGCGCCGATAGGACGGCCCAGGTGCCGCGCCCGTCACCGAGCCGATGCGTGACCGACAGTGGGGACGGGTCAATCACGGCGGCTGAGGTCAACGGCGAGGACGGGGCGCAGGAGGTCAGGTCAGGTCAGACGAAAAGAACTCCCGCTCTAGGAGAGGCGTACGAGGATGTTCGGTGCGGGATATGTTTCTGGTTCCACTCCCAGTTTCAAGTTCAAGAAAGGGACAGGAGGAGGAATTCTGGTCTACAAGAAGTCACCCACTTTGACGTGATCAGTTGGCGAGACATTTTGATTTGATTTACGTAACTTATCTCAAGATTGCCAGACCAGCCACCAACGTGGGTCAGTTCGGAAGCGGTCGGTGTCGTGTAGGCATCGTTTAATCTCTCACACGGCGCTAGCTGCCAACCTCCAGCGGTTCACAGTCTGAATCGTGTGCAGGACAATATGGTAAATACACACATGACGTGAGAGGTCGGCAGAAACGCTAACCGATTTAGCTGCGACTGACTGTCGATTTCCTTCCCTCTCAGTCGCCGTTTCCCAGAAGAAACCTCTGCGTCAAGGTAGCGCGCTGACATATCACTTCATATGTTGAGACTAACAATGTCATATGGATTAGCTGACGTCATTGATTTTTGTGAGGTTTAATCGTGATCACTTCAGCTTGTTTTCAGCCTTCACGTCAGATACTCGTCGAGTTTCACGAGCCTGTAAATGTCTGTGTTTTGAAAGAACAAACTGATTGAGCTGGTACTGCCGAAACGGGGAGCAGGGTTTCCGTCGAGGCATTTCTCGAGAACCACACACTAGCGGCATTGTGTACTATCATGTTTGACATGTCGGGGCTGTCTGACCTCGGCGCCGCAGTGTCTACACCTAGTTTCTCTGGCTCCTCTCAGCAGGGGGCGGAGCACATCATCGACAGCACATCCAGCGATCGCGGAGAAACCCAGCCGGCAGGTCAGGGCGGCGCCGGCCCTCCGAACCCGCTCAACAAGATAAACAAAACCATAAATGAGATGAATCCGTCGCAGCGCCCGGTGGCGCCGCGCTCCCACATCCGTAGATCAACTGCAATTATGAGCTGTCTTGTTGCTGGTCCGACGCAGGGGCTCGTACGGAGCTGGACGCGCTGTAACGCATACGAACGAGTCCCATCCACCCCACCACGCGCCGCGCCGCCGCTGGGCCGCTGCTGGGCCGGAGAGGCTGCCGGCCGCCCTTCAGTCGACTATAAATCCGGCAGAGTGTTGTGTAAAAGGGTGTGAACCCAAACCGATAAATCCGGACTAATCGCCGGCCCCGGCACCGACGGTTCGGCCGCATCCCGCCCAGATTACAAGCCTCTGACGCGGGCGGAGGCGACGCGGCGGCGGCCCGCGCGAGCCGACCACCTACCCCGCCGGCCGACCACGACTCGGCCGGGATTAATTTCTCGAAATGGAGTGGAATTAATATGTTGAAATGGCCGACGCCTCTCCGCTGTAGGCGAGGTCGTGCAGTGCACATGCGCGCGCGCCGCGGGCTAATATTTCATACAACTCAGTCGAGTATCCCGCATCAGAGAATGAACTCTAGCCGAGAGCTCTAATCAGATCCTCCCCGCTTGGGTCAGAATTTACACCAGATGGGTTCAGAACGCCCGGCCGTCCAGCGGAAATACCTTCTCCGCTCGCCGAGGCTGGTTTCATCTACTATGTATAGTCCCGCATCTGTAGCGCCCCCGGCTCGGCGTTCGCATTACGAGACCAGACCAGTCGCGGTACTCACTGGTTGTAGCCCTGGATTTTCTCCAGCGCCAGCAGCGTCGGGAAGCAGGAGTGGAAGTCGAACGGCGAGCTGTACCGGCCGGGCAGCAGGTCCGACGGGGGCGACCTCGGCGAGGGCGAGTCAGAAGGTGACGTCGAGCCCGACTTGTCGTTATCGCTGATCGGTGACTCTGCCGGAGAGAGAGAGAACAGAGGTCAGGTCAGGCTGGGTCACGGGCCAGGTCAGGTTGTTTCAAGCGGCAGACAGACACGGTTTTGCATGGGTCATCACATCACTCTCGGCACGTCCGACAGTGTGATGTTTTGTTTAGCAATGCTAAGTTCCATCAAGGCGGTTCACTAATGTCAGGTCAGTTGAGGTCATGTCACAGAGCCCCACCCAGTAGGTCAGTCAGCGGGTGCAGACTGCAGATTCTCCCGATACACACACGCCCGCGGCTCCCGTGGGCGGTCCCGTAACGATCGATTACGCTACTCAGCGCACTGCATTACACTACATCGCATTACGCTACATTACGCTACATGATACTACACTATCGGAGCGCTGGCTGCCGGCGCTGCCGCCGCTGACGCGCTGCCCCACCGACCAGCACAAATCATTAATTTCGCCTAATGTGTTTTAAATCACGGGGTTGGCTGCCATGAGGCTGGTCGCTGGCGCACAGAGCCGACATAATTGAACAACGCTGACGCAATGCAATGCTATCGAGAACAGAACGAGTCCATTAGGCGTCAGAGAACCGGCTGCGTTCACGATTTTTGCTCTTTTGAGAACCATTCGCCCATATGGCTCACGGTTTCGGCACAAAGCCATTACAAACCCCACGAACAAGCACCGCAGTTAATAATCCGGTATATACTGTTTAGAATAAACCTTCGGAAAGTCCAATTCTAACGGTTCTTTATGAGCCGGTTAAGGTTTCTCACGAGTCGAACTGCAATAACCCATCATTAGTGGTGCGAGGCCCGTTCGTAGAATACTGAAAGAGTTGCCGACAGGGCGAGCCGCACTCCTCGCGGGCACGCGAAATGTATCGGGCGGGGTCGCCGGGCCAGGGGAGGCACACACAGACATAGCACGGCAGCACGGCACATAACACATCACGACAAAACATTACAATTAACGGGCGCAACGATTCAGACCGCCGCTGTGACACAGGGGTGATAGGCTTGACATAGGTTGTGGCTGTGACACAGGTGTCAGTCCGGTGACGACCCGGGTCCCGCGTTGTCTCCCCCTCGCGCCGCCGTGGGTGCTATCAATGCCATCCGCAATTAGCGGCAACTGTGGCAACGGACGGATGTCGCCGTCCGAGCCACGCAGGTCGTTCATTACACGGGGTGCGCGCTGGTCAAAGTTACAGCGCCATTTACGGAGTGTGATCCAACCGCAGTGCGCGCCGCACAAATCAACCCGCGTCCGCCGACCGCTGCCGCGCCGCGCACAGCACTGGAGACCTGTGATTATTTCACGAAACCGTTGTGAAATTGATAACCGCATGATACGTGCCGTTCCACGCATCTGCATCGTTTCAGTGTGCAATCTCTGCGCACACAAAGCGCTCTCTGTCTTGGCTGTTGGTTCTGACGGCTGCGGATCGCTGCCGGTCGCCGCGGGCCGCTGCTCCTCGCGGGTCGACCGGACTCCGTTGGGTAACCAGGCTGATCCGTGACGGGGCGTCCCGCCCCGCCCCGGCCGCCGCAGGACCGGGTAAACGGGCGCCGCCTTCCCCGGCGGCCACCGAGGAAACTGTGCGCCGATCAGAGCCGATATGGAGGACGAGCCCGCCGAGGGCTTCGTTCCCACGGCCGCGCTCCGTATCGGGCCGGGGTCAGCCGCGCCGGCCCGCCGCGCCGCCGCCGGCGTAATGGCTACCCTGAGCAGCGCCGGTGAACCTCAAAACCAGACAGCCGCCGCACAGTTGGGCAATGTCCGGTAAGGGCAGGCCCCACTGAACGGACACGTGTGGGAGGAGACGCATAGGTTACGCACGAGCGCGGATGTGCGCGGGTTGAAATGTGAAAGTGCGCGTTAAACGACCATCTTCCCCAAGGATGAGTGGGTGCAAGAGTCGTAAAGCACGCTGACCGTCCTCTCGCGGCGCGTGGAGGGCCTCAGTGGACAGATATCGACCCTGCTAACACGGCACAGAGTTATGTAGCATGTCTTCTACTTAAACTCCGCTGAAACCATTCAAGCCTTGTCACCGAGGCCGCCCAATTGCTTCAGTAAATACGAGAAGCGGCGTGCAGCCACGCTCTGAAGGCTGCAAGACCACTCAGCCTTCCGACCTCACAGGAGAGCCACACCCAGCGCGGCAGCGAGTTACGGCGATCGAAATTGAGGCCGTCCTTCCTGGTGATTAAATACAAATCATTAGGGGAGCCAAGAGGCTAATTGTGCGGTCCATTAGACGGCGATGGATGTGACTGCGGCGAGTTGTGCAGCGCCGGCCGACCAGAGCCGGGAGATAGCCAGCCACGAAGACCGCACCCCCGCGCAGACTCCGCGACAGCCCCGTACAACTCTGCGACCGCCGGCTCATCGTCCCTAATTACAACAGCGGCGTCTTCAAAACACCCAATCGGAACAACACAAACCGAACAACACATTCGGAGAACGTGGCCATTGTGAGCTAATTATACCATTGAATGCTAATGCTATTATTTTGATAACAGATCCCGGAGGTTTTCGACCGGGCTTATTAATGAGACCACTTAATGGTGAGTCGGCGCGGCTGCCAATTGGCTCGTTATATTCTCCCATTATGAGCTATCCAAATAGCGCATCCGTGACCACCACGTTAATCACGCCATTAGGTGGCTACCGCTAGTCATTGCCGGGCCCTGCGGGACGCACCGACGCTCTCAGGGAGGTGCGGCGCTGTGGCGCGGGTCAGTGCGGGGAGGGGAGGAGATGCGCCCCTCACTGCGGCCGGCGGTGACCTGGTCAGGGGCGGCTCCGCTCCGTTCGGGCCGGCCGGGTCAGCGCCGGGGGCCGCCGGGTGACGGCCAACCAGCCGTGGGAACGCCGTCCGAACGGCCCGGTCACCAGGTCAATGCGGCCCCGCCCAGCCGCTCCCCGAGCATCCCTGGCGCGCCGACATGCCGGCGACGGGGTCGCCCGGGCGCCGGCGGCTCCGCGGGCGGGGGCGAATCACACGCGCACGACCATGATCTATGGGCGCCGATCCGGGTGGAGTGTCGGCCGCCCCGCCCGGCCTGTCGCCGCCGCCCGGTGCCGGATCGGCCGGCGGCGTCCCGGCGGCTCCCACGGCCGGTCCGGCTATAAAGCCGGGCGCCCCGCCGCCGCCAGCGTCACGCTGCACCAACACAGACGGCGTTAGGCCGGCCGATCAGATAGCGCTGGCCGCCGATGGCTTAGTAAAGTAAGCTGCTCGGCGGTGGCAGCCGCTGACGAGTGCCGCACGGTGGCAGACGGCAGAGGTCAGCCGCGCGGCGCGCGTGCACCGAGTGGGCGCGGCACACGGCTGGGAACCGGCCCGACCCGGCCCAGCCCACCGGCACACACTGATATCTGATCCGGCCGGTGCCGTATCTGAACTCGTTAACCTGTTAGTCGGGCCGATACGAGCGCAACGTGACAGAAATAAACGCGCACGGCCGCATATTTTCCCATAGCCGGACCGTTTCCGATGGGAGACACTATTTACACCCGAGGACGCGGCTGTGTCACAATTTACTGTCCCAGTGTCCGTCATCGTAGCTGGAGTGCTGGAAGGTCGCGGCTGGGGCATATTGTCGCCGCTCTCGCCAGCCGCGTGAGGTCCTGGTGACGTGACCTGCACGCACTAGGAAGGTGCGGCCGTCACCACCGCGACCCCAGAGGGTCACGCGCTGCGCCAGAAAGCGGCGTGGGCAGCGCCATTGCGAAATGACCTGAGAACGGCCAAGTGACGAACAAAAGGCGCGCGGACCTTTTTACGAGTCAATGAAATTATCTTTACAGTCGGGCATATAAGCAATTAGGATGGCAATGGTTGTCGCTGAGCCGTAACGAAGTCGTCCTCGGCGGTGGCGATTGCGGTGCCTGCGGTGCAGCGGTGCCGCCACCAGCACGCAATGGCCGTCGCGCCTGGAGACCAAGCAGTTTGCACCGGTTTCTATGGCACCCCCCGCGGCGGTCGACGGCCGCGCGGCGCGCTCCATAGCCGTGTTTCCGTCGATTAGGCCAGCTCAAGTGGTGACTACGAGCGGCCGCGCCCGCGATCATTCCCAGTTACCGGCCAAGTGCCCGATGTGAGCTGCATCTAATCAGGGCTGGCCGCGCGGGGAGCATGCGGCACACCCCGTGCCGGCCGGCCGCCTATCGGTCCGGCCGGCACACCGGCCCCGGCAGACGCCCACACGACCCACTCCCCGGCCTGCCAGAGTCGCGCAACGCCGCACGCCGCGCATTAGCGGCCAATTTCTCAGGCGACAAAAACAAATCAGGTGTCGAAACGGTCACGGCGAATCTGTGCTGTCGCAACAGCTTGCGCAGAATCGAACCGGGCGCCGTGTCGACGAGCGGCGGCTCCCGCTGCTCGAGCGGCACGAGATCTGCACCAGCAGCTGCAAAAACGGCGACGCTCGTGACACGCGCGCCGCCGGCTGGACGTTTTAATCAGTGGCGGCGCCCGGCGATGAGAGCCGACAGATCCGTCCGATCAGCTGGATCAGTGATCGACTTCGGTCAGGCGGTAGCTGCTGGAGAGTTTGGAACAGCCTTCACGCAGCGGGAGAGCGGCAGGCACCGCGCAGTCAGCACAAGGACGCGCCGGACCCGGTGACAACCTCTGTCCTTCCACTGTCCACGTGATGGTGACGGTGCGGTTTGGACGGCCGTGGGACGTCGAACGTGCCACGCCCATTGAGACTGAGTGGACGAACGAAACCTCGACGGAATAAGAAAATACCTACCGCTCTGAAGGTACTACCTCCACATTCAGGCTTTGGCCGTATGACTGATTTTGTTGGTTTCCTGTAGCATCCTCTTGCGTCATGCGAATCATTGCCATCAAAATAGGTGGAGCAGAGATCAAGACTCAAGCAGCTCCCTTGGCCGTGACGATCCACTATTTCTCCGGAAGAGCCGGGTGCTCCAGCGAAGGTCCCCTCTTCACCAAACAGGGACAGAGGGTGGGGCGACCACGGCGCCGCCGGCGGC